CTGAAGTCAAAGTGAGGCAGGGCTGGGAGCCATCATGTCAGTGAGATGGCGAGGATTCGCTTGCCAAGGTCAGAGTTTTGTTTGGGGTATTTGAGGTAGGTTTGGCTGAAACGCTCTGCTTTCTTGGTAATGTTTCTTCTCTTTGGGGATGCGACCAATTGTAAGGTCTGCGGACTATGGAGCCAGAATGAAAATAAAGCTCTGGGCCAAATTATTATGTGCACATCACCTTGTTGGCTGTCCCCTGATCTGAGAAGCTTGCTGTTATGGCAACAACTCTATTTGTTGTTGCTGTTGTTAATTTTGGAATTATTTCTTTTTTTAAAAAAAAGAATAATGTTTTCAGAGTCACTGGAATACTTATGTAGATTGGTGCTCTCTGAGCTTGGTGGTTTTTTTTTTTGCAGACATTTCATTACCAAACTAGGTAACATGATCGATGCTAGAAGGGAATGGAATTGGGCGGGGGGAGGAGGAAGACAACTGTGGGGTCCTTGGTGCTCTCTGAGCTTGGTGGTTTTCTTGCAGACATTTTGTTACCAAACAAAGTAATATAATCAGTGCTAAAAGGGAGTAAAGTTTGCTGGAGAGGAGGAGGAGGATCTCTGAGCTTGGTTGTTTTCTGGCAAGCACTTCGCTACCAAACTAGGTAACATCATCAGTGCTAGAAGGGAATGGGGTTTGCAGAGTGGAGGAGGAGGACCGTGGGGTTCTTAGTGTTCTCTGAACTTGGTTGTTTTCTGACAGACATTTGATTACCAAACTAGGTAGCATCATCAGTGCTAGTGATAGTACCTAGTTTGGGTAATGAGTCATGGTGGCGCAAGTGGTTAAAATGCAGTATTGCAGGCTAACTTTGCATTCCCACAACCAGGAGTTCGATCCTGACCATCTCGAGGTCGACTCAGCCTTGAGTCCTTCCGAGGTCGATAAAACGAGGATCCAGATTGTTGGGGGCAAGTGGCTGACACTGTAAACCATTCAGAGAGTGCTGTAAAGCACCGACAAAGCACTATATCAGTCTAAACACTATCGCTCTTGGTAATGAAACGTCTGCAAGAAAGCCACCAAGCTGAGAAGGCATCAAGGAACCCATAGTTTAACCCTGAGCGACAAATATTCTTTTCTAAGAGAGAATCTGTGCTTGGGTCCACATCTGGATGTTTGGAAACGTGTCTACAATTGAAACGAAGTCAATCCTCAATAGGTACACAGTTGTGGTTTCTACCAAGGCTTTGCGCATGGTTGCTCCCGATTCCTAGGAGTTTGCAATGCTGCGATTCATATCCCGAAGGCTTCTTCAGAGGGTGCAAAGATACAAACACCGCACCTATTGTGCAAGACGTCCCGTCGTTTTCTGGACTCACAAAGCTGTGATTCTGGAAAACAAAGCTGTTTTTACCAAGTTGTAGGCAGGGGCTGTATTCGCACCCTTAGCTCAAAGCCCGGCTGTTTAGTAAAAACCTGCCCTTTCCTTTTAATCCAGGTAAGATGCGGATATGGCCAAAGGATATCGGGGTTTTTTGTACCTTCTTTCAGATAACTTGCAAGTTCTTACGTGAATATTTTCCTTCTGTATCTCAAAACAAAAGGCTGATGTAAAAATCCGCACGCTCCCAAGTTAACGTGTGAGATATATATTACTGGAATGTATTCTGTCCAATAAACATTTCTCAGATGTGGATTTTGAACAAGCATTCCAGCACAGGCCTCATCAGAACAGAGAGAAATGCTGCCAAATGGGTTGAATTTGAAGGTCAGCATGCTGTATATATTGGAGACTTTAGTTTTCTTCGCTTGGATCAGGTATTTTTTACGCCAGGTTGTTGTTCAGTGGCTTAGTTGTGTCCGATTCTTGGTGACCCCATGGACCATGGCACACCAGGCCCCCTCCTTCTCTGTTGTTCCCCCGAATTTGCCCAAATTTAGTTTAGTTTAGTCACTTTATTGTCATTGCACCTTGTACAACGAAATCAAACCCCATCTTCAGTGCACATCATGACCATGAAAATAAACACAAGCACACATCCTTCACACTCCACACATTGAATTGAAAATCACCAACACTGCACCAACACTGCACTATACAGTAGAATTCAAAAGAGCTCCTGCCCTGGGATAGAAGCTGTTTTTCAGCCTATTTTGTCCTTGTTTTTATTATCATCCTGTACCGTCTGCCAGATGGTAATAGTTCAAAAAAAAAAAAAAGGGTGTCCAGGATGAGATGGATCTTTAAGAATGTTTTGAACTCTCTTAAGGCAGTGAGAGCTATGAAGCTCTTCCAAAGAGGGGAGAGGGCAACCCATGATCCTCTGGTCAATGACATTAACCCTCTGGAGTGCTTTCCTAGCTGCCATGGTGCAACTGACAAACCGTACAGGGTGCAGTAAGTTAAGATACACTCTATGGTGCAGCATTAGAAGGTCACCAGTAGTTTTTCATTCAGTTGTTGTTTTCTGAGAAGTCTCAGGTAGTGTAATCTCTGCTGGGCCCTTTTGACCAGGGCTGCAATATGAGCACCCCAGGTCAGGTCCTCTTTTATGGTAACACCCAGAAACTTAAAACTGGCCACTTGCTCCACTCGGTCTCCATCGATAAGCAAGGGCTGGATATCTGATCTGTTCCTTCTATAGTCCTCTATAAGCTCCTTGGTCTTATTGGTGTGGAAGACCAAGTAATTGTCTCCAGCGCATGAAAGCAACCGGTCTACCTCATTTCGGTAGGCAGACTCATCCCCCCCCGGAGATGAGTCCCACCACCGTTGTTCATGTCCATTGCATTGATGATGCTATCTAACTGTCTGCCTTCCTTTTCTCCTTTTTTGCCTTCCATCTTTCCCAAACATCTTTTCCGGTGAGTCCCAAAGAGGCTTCTTTTAAAGAGGCAACCGGATGTTCTGGTTTTTTTTTGTCTTTGAAGACGTTTTGCTTCTCACTCAAGAAGCTTCTTCAGCTCTGACTGGATGGTGGGGAATGGAAGGATTTACACTCCTTGCAGATAGCTGGTCATTTGCCTCCTTTTTAGAGAGTTGTTGAGGCCACTTGGAGGTTTATCTGCAGTAGTTCCAAGAAGGCTCCACACCCATTTGCACCAGTTGGGTGACCCTGAGGACCCAGATAAACCTCCAAGTGGCCTCAATGACCCTCTAAAAGGATGCAAATGACCGGCTGTCTGCAAGGAATATAAATCCTTCCCTTCCCCACCTTCCAGTCAGAGCTGAAGAAGCTTCTTGGATGAGAAGCGAAACCTCTTCAAAAGAAAAAAACCAGAAAGTCCAGTCGCCTCTTGAAAAAGCATGTGTGGGACAACTGAGGACACAGATAATCCTCCAAGTGGCCTCAATGACCCTCTAAAAGGATGCAAATGACCAGCTGTCTGCAAGGAGTATGAATCCTTCCCTTCCCCACCATCCAGTCCGAGCTGAAGAAGCTTCTTGGATGAGAAGCGAAACGTCTTCAAAGAAAAAAACCAGAACATCCAGTTGCCTCTTGGGACAGCAGGCCTGGATGACTGAGAATCTCTGTGGACATTTCTCTTCCCTTCCCTTTGCTCTTCTGCTTTTCAGACCTCAGGCTCAATCCTGGGTCTCACCATGGCCGCTTTTCATAGCATTGCATGAAAAATTCTAACTTCAGTTTCTCTCTCTCTCTCTCTCTCTGTCTGTCTCTCTCTCTCTCTGTCTCTCTCTCTCTGTCTCTCTCTCCCTCTCCCCTTTCCACTCCCAGTGCTGAGGATTTCAAGGTTCAGCTTGCATAACAGGTAACAGCAGGCATTTCCTTCTCCTGTGTCGGGAAATCCTGGCGCCCTTCTGTCTCTCTCTGACTGTGTTTAAAACAGACTGTAGCCTAGGCAAAAAAAAATAAAAAAAATTATATCCCTAGTCTAAAATTAGCAGCCGTGATAGAAGAAAGGCACATGGCTGCCCTCTCGTACTGTTTGTCAATGAAACAACAAATCTAAACCCAGCCAAAATGCATTTCCTCTTGGCGAAAAAAACAGAGGAGCAGAGCTCGGACAGTGGACAGGCGGGCAGAGCAGTGGGAAGAGAAGTTCAGGCTGCTTTTGATGGGAATGAGTGGGGAAAAGGAGGCAGGATTTTCTAGTAATACAGAATAAAAGAGTTGGAAGGGACTTTGGAGGTCTTCTAGCCCAACCCCTTGCCCAAGCAGGAGACCCTATACCATTCCGGGTCCATCGTTGTCCAATCTCTTTTTTAAAAAACAGAGCTGTAGGTAGCTCATGGCTGTCTGAATTTCACCCAAGGTTCAGGGCAGTGCCAAATGGTTGTACTGCACAGGCAGTCCTCAACTTAATGACCACTATCGAGCCCCAAATTTCCCTCGTTATGCAGGACAGTGGTTGAGTGAGTTTGGTCCCATTTGATGACCTTTCTTGCCACCGTTGTTAAGTGAATCATTGCAATTGTTAAGTTAGGAAGACGGTTGGTAAGTGAATCTGACTCCCCCATTGGCTTTG